TACATAAAAATTATATATAAGTATATAAGTAAAAGAAAAGGGGGCATGGAAGCAGTTTTACACAACAGGTATATTGTAAATAAATATTGTGCTTTTGATCATTTCATTTTAAAGATATGAACAGCTGTCCCTAAGAAAGTACGAAACGTTGGTGTATTTCTGTTCATGCAGGCATATATACAGAAATCCAGTGAACACATGTGAAAAAGTGTATGAAAAAAGCTCGTTTTATTTATAAATAAAAATTTTGTAAGTTTTATAATGTACCTTAATTATTTGCAATAATTATAGAGTTGGGACTTGGGTCAAGGATAATGTATAAATTCTATATGATGTACTGTCGAGGAAATTTGAACTTTATTAATAACATTTCTCAAGTTTAGCATTTAATTTAATTTTTCTTTTTAGAAAACCAATATGCTTCATATTCACAAAACTGCCACAATAATTTGATGTTTTGCACGTTTTACCAAACCGTATCAGACAAATAATACCCTTTTTTTGCATAGACATCCATACAAATTTGAGCCTCTGCCACTGATTTATTTATTGAAAATGATTATCTTGCTGTGAAAAATCGAATTCTTGCAAAACCGAACATGTCTGAAAAAATATAACGTGCCACTACACTTTTATTTTCAAATTCCATTTTTTTTTTAACATCAGGCGCTTTCATCACCAAATGAAAATATCAAACCAAAAGTGAACCCTTGTGACGGTACATATTGTCGTTTTGTACATATTGTCGCCGGCGACAATATGTAGGGAGACGAGCCTTATTTTCCCCCTGCATAATGGACGACAAAATGTACAGTCAAGCACCAGCACATATTGTCGTCGGCCATAATATGTACAGTCAAGGTCGGCATATATTGTCATCGATATATTGTTTTAACGAATATTTACTTGAGAAAGGAAAGATAAGATTGACAACAAACACACACGCACGATGGGAGACAGAAGAAAACTTTTGGTTAGAAAATTGTATCCGGGATTGATGTACATTACTGTGATTTGTCAAGATACCGTAATTCTTGTGATATCTGATAAATCAGCTTATTATTTTTTCTTGTAATATATACGTGGAGATTGAATACATGTACTATTTTTTTGTTCAGTAGTAATGATTATTTGGAAATTTGCGTTACATGTGCTGATATAATTGGTGTTAGGGTTAGCATTTTTAGATCACCTGAACTGGAAGTTTAAGTGAGCTTTTCTGATCACATTTTGTATGTCCGTCCCTCTGTCTGTAAACTTGACACAAAGCATCCGTGGATAAAGGGGATTGAAGTTTGTTCAAGTGAAGGGTCATGCCCTCTTTCAAGGGAAGTAGTTAAGAATTAGTGAAAATTTAGTGACATCTTTTAAAATCTTCTCAAGAACCACTGTGTCAGAAAAGTTGAAACTTATGTGAAAGCTTCATAATGAAGTGTAGATTCAGTTTTATTCAGATCATCTCCCTCAGAGGTGATCAAAGTTTTTCATAGAATATTTAGAAAAAAAATTCTTTCAATTTTTCTTTTTCAAGAAGTACTTGGTCAGAAGAGATGATACTTATGTGAATGCTTCGTTACATAGCGTACGTTCAATTTTGAGGTGCTGGCACGAAAAAGATCCCTCACTGCTCAATGACCCTGAGTGCCAAGTATAGGTCTAAATTTGCAGCCCTCCAACGGCAAGTGGTGACGTCTACATACGAATGAAAAATTCTCGAGATGGACATTATAACAACAAACAAACAAACAAAACCAATTTTGTTCAAATCATGACTCCAGGGGTAGGTTGGGGCCAGAATGGGTGATCAAAGTTTTACATAGGAATATATACAGAAAATCTTTAAAAATCTCAAAAAACAGAGAGATGTAGCACTGCCCCCCCCCCCCCTTCGCGGTGGTTTAATTTTTTGTTCTGCTTTGGTAAATTAAGTTTGTTTAACTTGAATATACTCTCAATTTAGTCCACAGGTAAAATTTTATAATTAAATAATTTACTTAACATATATAGTAACACACCTTTACATAAAAATTCACTTTAAATTTTTTGCTTGTCAAAAAAAAAATATCTGAACCGCCCGCATCCCCCCCTTCCCGTTCTGAAATGTCTGGATTCACCACTGAGAACAGCTGTAGGCCCGTGATTAGTAATGTTTATATGGAAGTATCCTCAGGTAGCGCAGATTCAAGTTTCTTCAAAGCAAACCGGGCTTAGGGTGGTACTACAATGGGCGATCAGAGTTTTACATATAAATATATGGAAAATTCTTTAAAAATTATCTTCTAAACACACATCAAAGCAACGATTAGTCATATTTAAATGGATTGATTGATTGATTATGATTGTTTAACGCCTAGTCGGCAATATTTCAGCCATATTTCGGCGATCAAATTAAGTGTTTATGGCCATTTTTGAATTTTTTGGTTTCTCTGGCTATATTTATATGGATCCTTGCCATGCATTGTCATGCGACATGTTCTGATGGACGACAATATGCGCAGTATGGGTAGGTACACATTGTCGCCGGCGACAATATGAACAGGACGACAGAATGTACCGTCACAATCACGCTGTTTGAAATAGTATACGAGACACGTCAGTGTGATTAGCACACCAATTACATTCACAAAACTACCAAAACACAACAAAATAAATCTTGAAGCAACAATATTTGTGGGGCGACAATATGTACCGTGAGGGTGAGGCACATAATGTCGCCAGCGACAATATGTACATGTGTAACTTTTCAGCCGGCGACAATATGTACCAATGGACGACAATATGTGCAGTGAGGGTGGGTAGATATTGTCGCCGACGACAATATGTACAAAACGACAATATGTACCGTCACAACCCTTCCCTTCAAATGTTTACCTTTAACTCCCATCTCATCTTTTAAAAAGAATTCTTGTCAGTTTTATTTTACTTATCAAACATATGATTTTTCTTTTATGACTAATCATTTGTCCTGTCTCATTTTTTTCTCCTTACTACTTGTGATCGTAAGTTCAAAACCCCTGCCGCGACTGATCTAAGTCGATAAAAAAAAATAGATAGCAACTATTCCTTTGTCAAGCGCTCGGACATCTGAAGTGAAAGTTGCAGGTTCTTCGGATGTGACCTTAAAAACCGAGGCCGCGTGTCATGGTAGGCGTTGGCACGATAAAGAACCCTCACTGCTCAGTGGCCCTGAGTGCCGAATAAAGGTCTATATTTAAACTCTTCACCGGTATATGGTGACTTCTCTATATGAGTGAAAAATTGTCGACTGGGATATAAAAATCAGTCAATCAATCTCCCTTCGACTTCCGGTGTCAAAAATGCCTGCAGCCATAAAAAAGGTTTTATAGGAGGTTTTCCTGGAGGCAGACATAAATTAACTTATAAAAGTAATCAATTTAGTACATTTAGAACACATATGACTATAAGGACTGGCAAGGACACCACTGTCTGTTATATTCCACACCTCTATCTATCAAACCTACCTCTGTAAAACTAAACACATGTCTATAAATCGAAAAAAAATCATCCATTTCAAGATATTTGAAATAAAATGATTCATCTTAAATATGTCTTTCTTGTTTTTCTTATTATTTCTTATAATTTCTCAAGATAGATAATCCTTGTCACTCTTGGATAAAAAAAGAAGAAAATTACGATAAATTTTAATATTTCAAGCAGGAGCATATATATGTTCAATATTGCAATATTCGAGATGAAACCATCTTGATGTTTAAGTGTTCAGTACCGTGGCATCATCCATTTTTGTCATCTATACCCAAGAATTTACATCCCTCCGAACGATAACGTTATTTGTCATTGTGTCGGTTCATCGAATCTTCTTTCATAAATATTATGAATTTTTGCTTCAGCAAACTATTACAACTTTGTCCCCGAACATTGATGCCCACGAACTGGAATGACTCCACAGTATTTCTTTTCTAATGAATGCTGAAATTAGCTTTAAAGAATACGCCATATGAAGAAAGACATGTATTTTTTTTAATACTAGTTTTAAGTATAAATGATGTTAGTATTTACAAATTTATTGACTTTGCCTTGATTGAATGAGCCAGCAACATTGGAGAACGAGGATTTACTTAGCTTTAAGTAAGTATAGATTTTCTGATGCTTTTTTAAAAAATATTTTCCTCGTATCTCCATATTGTTTGATTCAAGGTAAAAATAATTGAAAAGCAGAATACGTCAAATCTCTCATTTATTTTAAATTAATAATTCCAAGGAAATAAGGAAGCCTTTTCTGTATTGATTTTCAATATAAGTCTTTTCAATTAGTATGCATCACTATATATAACAGTGTTTTCAGGAATGTTAAGAGTTATGTGGTTTTTGCTTGATTTTTGACACAAAATGTGAAATGCCTCGATAACTTTCATCAGAATAGTTGCTTGTCGATCAAGGATTCGATTTAAAGAAATGAAGAAGAGAGATTCATCAATAAAAAAAAACAACTAAACTGGAGTTTCTGTGTAATTATAGGCTTTGAATGCAAAATTGTAGAGGAAGCCTAGATTAGGAAAGCTCGAATACCGATTGATAAATTATTGATGTTATATGCATTGGTGTTTGGTCATTTAGGGGATTTTTTGTAATAGAAACAAATAGTGTTTCTTTAAGAAATAATTGAACTTCGGTCCATTTCTTTACAAATCAAAATTCTTTAATCTTCATTCGTTCATCAATAAATTCAAATTAATAAAGTTGACAGAAGGAAAATTATTCTATATAATTGTCTTTTTAAAATTTAAAACCTCAAAGTGCCATTCGATATCTGAATGAAATATTCACACATATGGCATCTTTGAGACAAGTGCAATCACTTTTTTATTTCTTCGTCATCCAAAGTATTACAAATTCCTCGAATAGAAACGTGCCTTTCATAAAAGCCCCAAACTTAGACAACAATTATGAGGATGGAGTTGTTCTGACAAATATAATTTTGGAAAGTAAATTATCATGTGCTGCAAAATGCTCCGAACTTCATGGTCATTGTCTTTCTTATGCCTGGAATAAAGGAACAACCAATTGTGTATTGTACACGCAAAAAGTTAAAATTCAACTATCAGCTGACTGGGACCACTACAATATTAGAGGTAAGACGTATGTTATATTTATAAATTTAAATTTTGAAGTTTTAGATTATTTAAACTCCGTAAACTATTATAAATAAATCGAATAATAATAAGTTTGCTTTATATCCTTTGAATAATTGCAACTTAATTACCATGTATTAATGTTTATCGTAAACCATTCTTAGTACTTGTAGTTCGCAACGAATGCAAAGAATATTTGCTAAAAAGTGTAATAGCTCTTAAACAGGGGAAAGGAGCATCTCTATACGTGTTGAGAAAAGAATTCACAAAACATATAAAAGACTGTAGGTACTGTGAACACTGAGCTTACAAAATGATACCCCCCGCTCCTATATAATTTTAATGACAACATCCATTTTTAGCTATCGGAACCCCCATCAAAAAAAAAAGAACATCAAATGGGATGTGCACGAGAAAGGCAATGTCCATTTATTTTGCTATTGTAACCCCCAAATATCTGTCCAATCAGAAAATGAAATATAAGAGGTGGACAATGGCACTATGTAATAAAGATTATGTGAAAGTTTTGTTAAATTTTATGCAGTGGTATAGGAGTTGTGGTTAAAAGATGAGTACCCCATTATCATAGAAATTATGGCAGTGTCCGTGTTTTATTATGGGAAATATCTGTCTGATCAGAACATAGGAGGTGTACAATGACACTATGTAATAAAGAATCTATGAAAGTATCATTATTATTATTATTCAGTGGTTAGGAGGAATTGCAAACAAAAGATGGATACTTCCAAATGTTATAGAAAAAAAATGGTGTCCATTTATTTTACTATGGTATACCCCAAGTACCTGTCTGATTAAAGCGTGAAATAGGAGGCGCATAATGGGACTATGTAATGGGTGAATTTAAAATAATGACCGGACAGATATTTATCCCTACACTAAAGATACAGCCGTTGTGAAGGAATTTCTATGACTCTGCATAAGTCTTTTGATATTGCTTAAATACCTGCCAAACATCGATGTCTTAAATCATAAAAAGATACTAAAGATGTCAGATTTGGAACACTTTTTGTTACATTTTCAAAATTTTTATACTTTATTAAGATCTGTGAAATAAATAATAATGGTTTATGTTTGTATGTACATACTTTCCTGATATAATTCATTGTATTGAGCTTTAAATTTAGACTATAGTAACTTTTGTTTGGGGAATTAAGTTATTGTCGTGGCTGACGACAAAAAAGTTATACCATGTCAGGAGTGCAAGACAAAAAGTGTAATATACCCAAAAATTATTGATTTTAAAAATCTGTATGACAAATAAGTCAAAAAAGAATTTTCAAAGTGCTAAGCAATAACTGATATTCCATTTAAAAGTTATAAATGTTATATGAATTAATGTATTAATTATGGTCAAGTATCTGTGCATACCCAATAAATAAAGGAGTGCAACATTTGACGCTTTGCTCCTCAGCATAGGAAAAACTTTATCAGTATCTGTTTTTTTACTTTTTTCAAAAATAAAGACTCGAAGAAAATTTTTTACAAATAAGTCTATCAATTACAGGATCTGTCTATGTTTCAGATTCATATTTCTACGGTCAGGAGTGCAACACATTTTTCAAAGATCCAAGTTCAATGATGAAATGACTTCTATTAAAACTAATAAGAATTCTTTGATCAATAAGGATATATTTTATTAATTAAGTATTAAATTATTTACAGTTTTATTATTGAAATCTTTTTTTTCAATTTTATCAATCCAGATGTGTTTTAAACTATTGTTTTAATTTTCTTATGAAATAAAAAAATATATACTGAAAAATTGTTATAAAATTCAAGTAATTCCACCATAACTTCACTGAAACAACATAACGCGTTCTAGTGTAATTTATGCTTCGCAATCCTACTCTAATGACTGACGTGCTTTTGGTCAGGAGTGCAACCATTTTAGTAGTAATCATTTATATCCCTGACACAAGTCTGAAGGATTAAAAAAAAAAAACAATAATTTAATTCTTTTGATTATATATTTTAGAACGTCTTAGAGATGTAGTAATATTTTTCTTTTTTTTTTTTCAAATGAAATTCTAATAAATTTAAGCGTACTGTACACCTGATGAGTACCTTATCACTGTTTTCAGGGTTCTTGGTTTGCCAGTTATGAAGTCCCTTTTTGTGGACATTTTAGGGGTTTTTTTAGGGGGGGTCCCCCCACCATGAAACCTTTGTTTCTGGCCTGCTTCCTGTTCAATATACACATTTAGATAATTATTTCTGGCAATTTTCTGTTCTTTACTGTTTTATATTGAGAGCTAGATTATTGTTTTTTTTTTTAGAAACACTTGAATTATGACCTACATGCATTTCATTTGTTGTGTAGTTAGTACCTACGATTAATGGATCCACTATATTAAATCTAAAAACAAGTTGCATATTGAATTTAAAATTAAATGAGTAAATTGTGGTAACGTTAAATTAAATGTGGATCTGATTCTGCCACTAAGATAAGAGTTTGCAAATTTAGAGATATGACATTGGAAATCGCACAATACATGTAGCATCCAAATCAACAATGATGAAATGCAACCAAAAATAAGCATATGATTGCTTTACCAATATTAATTATAATACATAATAATAGCACCCTAAAGCGGAGCATCTCCTGATTCTATTCGTCTGATCGCAATTTCTAAACACACAACAAATATAAAATAGCAAATTTGACTTCTTCTTGAAGGATTTATGATAATGTCATTGCTTGTGTTGTCTTGTTACAGAATGATTTCAATTTAAATATTTAAGTTATTATCTGTTAATATAAAGGAGGATTTATGAGAAATGTTAAATAATATCGATAAACCAAATCTGCTTCATAGTTTCCACTTGTTCAATACTTACATACATTCATCAAACTTAATGTACACATATGTTAAATAAAATGGCAAAGTTTGCTTACCAATTCACAAGAACGTTCCAATCTACTTTTCAATAAACACTTCTTTTTCATTATAAGATTCTTGTTTGATTTCCTGATTTCAGAATGTTCCTCTGAGTTGGGAAATGGAGTTTTAGATGTCAACAAGGTATTCATCCCAGGAACCTCCCTTAATGGCAGCTGTAACGAGGGGTACATTGCCCTATCGGGGGAAGTCCTTGCTACATGTGACATGGACTTCGATACCAAAGTTTCTGACCTTTGTCGTTTATGTAAGTAAAAAATAATAATACGCACTTTAACCATAACCTTACAACTAAAATATCATACCTTAGACATTTTGTTTGCTCAGTGTTGACGGACATCGCTGTTGGAAAACCTTCTATACAATCCCCTACCTTTAATATTGATCAAGCTTCAAATGCCGTGGACGGTGATAGAGGGACGGACATCATAACAAACACCTGCTCCCACACGGACACAGGTGATGACAGCCCTTGGTGGAGGGTAGACCTCACGGATATTTATTACATCACAACTGTTAGAATTCTCAACAGAGGCATGGACATGTTTGGAATAGGTAGGTTCAAAGATGGAATATTTTGCTAAAAAAAATTTTAAGCATGAACCTTTTTTTCTTAGCATTTTTGTAAAAAAAAAAAAAATTGAATCTCTTTGCAATTATAGATGAGTCGGCTAGACTTAGAGATGTAACAATCAGTACCGGTATAACAACGTTGAACATTTCCTCGTTTTGTGGATTCTATGCTGGTCCTGGAGTACTGTCGCAATTAGTAACCATTAATTGTCTACCGTATACTATGGGGAGATACGTACAAATTTCACTAGTGACGCCATATCTAACACTCTGTGAAGTAGATGTGTTTGTTGTGGAAGTTTAGACCCCGGGTATAACTTTCTGAGAAGTGGGTGTATGTCCAGTGACCAGTACCTAGCTCTCCGCAAAGAAGATACACATGTATATGTATTGTAGAATCTATTTACCCCGTATCTACTGTGAAGTGTATGTGTTTTAATGGAAAGTCTAGTGATCCCATGTCTACTTTCCTGCGAAGTATATATATATATATATATATATATATATATATATATATATATATATATATATATATATATATATATATATATATATATATATATATATATATATATATATAAGAAGTCTAGTGACTACGTATTTAACTCTCTGCAAAGTGAATGTTTTGTTATATATGGAAGCCTAGAGACCCGTAAAAAACTGTGCAAAGTGGATCTGGTATTTTTTTTTTTTTTGGGGGGGGGGGGGGCAGACTAGTGACCCCATATCTTACTATCTGCAAAATGGATCTGTTTAATGTGGAAATCTAGTGACCCCATATCTAACTACGAAGTGGATCTGTTGTTGTAGAAGTCTAGTAACCCCGTATCTAACTCTCTGCAAAGAGGATCTGTTTGTTGTGGAAGTCTTATGACCCCCATATCTAACTCTCTGCAAAATGAATGTTTTGTTGTGGAAAATCTAGTGACCCTGTATCTAACTCCCTGCAAAGTGGAACTGTTTAATGTGGAAAATCTAGAGACCCCATACTTAACTCTCTGCAAAGTGGAACTGTTTAAAGTGGAAAATCTAGTGGCCCCGTATCTAACTCTCTGCAAAGTGAATCTGTTTGTTGTAGAAGTCTAGTGATACCATACCTAACTCTATGTGAAGTGGAGGATTTTGTTGTGAAATCTAGTGACCCCATATCTAACTAAATGCGAAGTGATTCTGTTTATTGTGGAAGTCTAGTGGCCCCGTATTTCACTCAATGCGAAGTGGTTCTGTTGTGGAAGTCAAAGTGCTTGAATGCTGATTTCGGAAGTTAAGTCTCTCTGCGAAGTGGATGTGTTTGTTGAGGGAATCTTGTGACCTGGTATCTCTCTGTGCAAGAAACTTTCATATAATTTGGAAACCCTTATATGATTTTTCCCATAAATAAAATTTTGAAACAATGAATTTAGCATTGCATGGCCATATCTTAAGATGTGAAGCATATTTTTTTCACTATTGATCAAAGTATTAAAGGAAAAATTTGAATTTAAGAAAAAGTATTCCTTTAAACCTTTTCCTTTGATACTTCGATTAATTATATTAATACTGAGTATACGATTTTTTTCTTCTCAACTTTTTCACAGATAAACTATCACTATCTATATTTCACTGATAAATTAAGCAAGAAAAACTGTATCAGGATACAATCCCAATCTAAATGTTAAGTTTGGGTCAGCTGTTGTGCACAGAGTCTGGAGATGACCTTGTCTTTGACGGATATGCCTATCCATTTCGTCCAATGCATGCATGCTCAAGGATTTAAATCTGGCGATTTACATGATCAAGGAAGGACTAGATGCTGCGGTTTGGAAGAATGTTGTCATTCCATGTGGCTTTGTATTGTTACATTGAAATATGACTCCAGTATGCTACATTATTGGAAAAACATGTGCAGGTAGGACATCGACAGAGTACTGTTGTGCCGTCCAAATCCCTTAAATATGAACCAGATCAGTCCCTTGCCCATATCATTGCACTACCAACACCAAATCTATGAACCTTACGGACGCAGTTTTCTGCAAAACTCTCATTAGAAACCTGTGCACGCTGACTCTTCTATCAAGCTTTGCAAAATTAAAAATCTGGAATAATAGGTAAATTAACCAAACTATTGAGCGGTATTGCTGTAGCCATGCTCTGTTGGTCTGAGACCTCTGATGTCGATATCGGCGGTACTGAATGGTCAGAACAATGACATGAATAAATCCTCTGGCTCAAAACTAAGATACAGATTGTTGGAAGACCTGGTCTCCAAAAACCACATAGATACTGTCAATCAGAAACTAAAGCATCTTTTTAATATCAACTTCAGAGTAATTGTTTGTACAATCAGAATGTTTTGAACAAAATAATTTTGCAGGTGACCAATGACAAGGTACACGTTCCATTTTTATTTAAAAAACAAAAATTAGCGGTCAATTATGTCAAAGAGCCTGGACTTTAATTTATCGTGAGGAATGGTTGTATATAGAGTTGAAAAGTCGTAAGTTTTTATGTTAGTGATTTTGGTAAAGTTTTGTGATTTCAAATTTTCCAAAGTTCCTTGGAATTTTTAAGTGTCCACTTCTGTTTAACACCATTTCTCGAATGAAGTATATGGAGATAACGAACAGTGTACGAGCTCAAAATCCATTAACATTACGAAATAGTAGAGCAAACACGGACCTCAAAGACATCAGAGGTGGGATCAGGCGTCATGGAGGAGTGAGCATCCCCTGCCGACCGGTCACACCCCAATCTATCACATCATCACTACAGCCGATTTGATGTAGCCCCAATCTATGATATCATCACCACAGCCGTTTTAACTTGGCCCCAATCTATCACATTATCACCACAGCCAGTTTGATTTAGCCCCAATCTATATCATCACCATAGCCAGTTTGATTTAGCCCCAATCTATGATATCATCACCACAGCCGTTTTAACTTGGCCCCAATCTATCACATTATCACCACAGCCAGTTTGATTTAGCCCCAATCTATATCATCACCATAGCCAGTTTGATTTAGCCCCAATCTATGATATCATCACCACAGCCGTTTTAACTTGGCCCCAATCTATCACATTATCACCACAGCCAGTTTGATTTAGCCCCAATCTATATCATCACCATAGCCAGTTTGATTTAGCCCCAATCTATCACATCATCACCACAGCCAGTTTGATTTAGCCCCAATCTATCACATCATCACCATAGCCAGTTTGATTTAGCCCCAATCTATCACATCATCACCACAGCCAGTTTGATTTAGCCCCAATCAATCACATCATCACCATAGCCAGTTTGATTTAGCCCCAATCTATCACATCATCACCAAAGCCAGTTTGATTTAGCCCCAATCTATCACATCATCACCTTAGCTGTTTTGATTTAGCCCCAATCTATGACATCATCACCACTGCCGTTTTGATTTAGTCCCAATCTATGACATCATCACCACTGCCGTTTTGATTTAGTCCCGATCTATGACATCATCACCATAGCCGTTTTGATTTAGTCCCAATCTATCACATCATCACCACAGTCGTTTTGATTTAGCCCCAATCTATGATATCACCTCCACTGTCGTTTTGATTTAGTCCCAATCTATCACATCATCACCATTGCTGTTTGGCTTTTAATCCACATCATCATCATGCATTGCCCCCTGTGATGCAAGACATAGCTAATATGGGCAGCTATGGTTCCACAGAAATTTGCAGGACGACATTCCGGATTAGACTTTTTAAACAACTGAACTAACTGAAAGGGACTTCATTGTAATTGGCAAGATTTCGGAATGCACAACATCCGGATTAGACAAGTTTAAATGTATAAACTATTTAATATACAAAAAAAATACACGAAGTGCTGAATCAAAATTGGGCAATATCTATTTATTGAAGAAAACACACAAGGAGAATTTGAATTTGTCAATATATTTCTTTAGAAACTTATGAAATTTAATATACATAAAAGGATGCAAACTAAAACTGAAAGTCTATAAATTCTCTAAAGGAAAAGATTACGAAAGAAAATGGGTAAACAAGGTGAGGAAATGCTCATTATGGGACAAATAAGAAAGTAAAAAATTGAAGCTTAATTATTACAAGAATTTCTTTATATCATGTAACATTAACGTATACTATATATAAAATCTCCATAAATTGCTACAATCTCACAAATTATTATCTAGGAAATAGCATACATACATCAAGGAGGGCAAAAAAGATGGGTCTTCACACGAGCTCCATTTTTTTTTTGAACGATTACACTCAAAGTATGCAAAAAAATATACATTCTTTGGTCAACAAAAACATGGAGCAAAGACCCACTATACCTTAAAAATACACTTTTTTATGATACAATTAAACATTTGCATCTTTTTGAGAAATATTTCAAGCCCATTTACTAGTAAAGGGTCATATCACAAACATGATTTAAATGCCACTATTTGTTATGAACAGTTTAACAGTTTATGAACAGTGTAGTCATTACAATGTTAGTATTGAAGGGAAAGTAATGTTCAAGATTTTTTTTTATTTTTGCTTGGATTCAAATTAAGGTTCATAAACCCTCTGCTCACTCATATAAAATGTTGCTTGAACCTTAATGATTTTCCAAAAGAAATGTATTTTAAAAGTTAAATACAAACAATTGTAGCATAGCTTGCAGGGGGAAATTGGACAAAAAAGACATTTCAACTTGACAAATTTATAAAGGAATAATAGACATTTATGTTATTAAGAGTTATCTCTCTTATCAGAGTATCAATGAACCTTAAACCCCAAGAATACTTTTTTTTATATTTTGCTGAAAATTATTTCATAAAGTTTTGTTTGTCCTACTTTAGATACTTAATTCACAAACTGAATAAAATTGTTGTACATTTGAAGCTAAAGGCATTTTGCATGCCTTGTTCACCCACCTCCTTTCATTTTTCCTTCAATCATTTTGTGGATGAGATACATTATTCGGATGAGTTCCCTTTTTTTAAATAAAAAATAAATTTTTTACCTAGATATGTTTTATACATGAAAACAGCCATTATACTCAAAACACACTTAGCACTAGTCATGTGATATAACAAAGGGCCACAATGCTCACCAGAATCACCTTAACATTGAAATAAAAATAAATATAAATTAAGTTTTCTTTCAGGGTTTATCCATTATATCTGAGTGTGTAAAACTTTTATCCACAACTAAGGCCCCATTCTTTCAGAGGGACCATGATTTAAACAAATATGAACCTTCAATACATGATGATGTTTGTATATAAATGAATAATTATTTCCTCTCCTTTCTTCAGAACATTTTTTTTAAAGATTTTGCATATACATCTGACCCAATATTGTGTACCAAATCTAGGAACGCCATCTGAAGAAACTTAAATCTTTCCTTAATGTTTGTACATCAATTTGGCTAACTGGTAGCCTTTTTGTTCTTGAAAAGAAATTTTAAAAGATTTTTCCTGATATACTTTAATCCCCCCTCCCCAAACTTTTTTATGTCCCCTTTTCTCCCTATTTCCTTGGGCCAATGTGAAAAGTGATAACAGACAGGCATATGACAATTATTGATCACAAAAGCATCTGAATAGCTTCAAAAATATCACTGCTGTTGAATCCCAGAATAGGTGCTTAAAATGTCTATGTAAAAAAAGCTGTAGTTAAAATTACATAACTGTGAAAAATTGAAAAAGACAAAAACAATCCCATTTAGGAAAGACTAGTAGTGTTTTAATGATTTCCTATTGCATAATAATGCTTTTAGCTGGAAGAACAGAAAAAAACTTAAAACACTGAGTTCAGTAAATAATTTTCTTATTAAGATCCTAAAAAGGTGTACAAGTTTCATTCTATATATGATGAATATGTACAAGCAATCAATGAATTCTTCTTTAAGCTAAGAAAATGTCATTAATAAATAACAGAATTCATTTCTACACAAACGGCAGCATGAACCTCAATGGACTCCTTGGAAAACATTTCCGTGCAGATTGGGCATTCCACAAAAGCTGTTGGTGAATCAAGGGTGTATTCTTCATACACATCAAGCTCTGTTGCTGGAGTTCCTAGCAATAAAAAGGTCAGGAGTCTTTAGTATTATTTTCTGGTCAAGCATTTGTCTCTCTAAGTACTATGAAATACAAATCCATAGAATTCAAGTCTATTTTAAAACCTGGACTCTTTTCACTCCTCTGTCTACGGTTCAAATGACATATATGTAATTTAATGTAAATTTGGCAAAACTATAAGTGGCTCAGCTTCATTGAACTCTTGAACTTTTTTTTTACTATCCCTGAATATTAAATACTTAAAATGTTGACATATTCACATCTAATAATGTAAATGAGGTTTCATAATAATGAGAAAACATGAACACTTAGGCACTAGTTAATGAGAAAAATGTTTCTAAATACCCAGGGTGAAAAAACTTTTCATTAGGTTTGTATGAACACCATTTCAAAATACATACATTCTGACCTTAATAATTCCCCCACTTCCCCTAACAGCAGAAATTGTGTCTAACTTTTCTCCAAATTATATCTACCTAGGCACTGCAATACATTACAAAAGACTTCTTTTTTTTTTAAATGTATTTTCACCTTTTACTCACAACACAGTCAAACAGAGAAAGGGAAATAACACGTTATTTCATGATAAGTTTTGTCTTTTCTTGCCAAGTTGGTTAATGAGAAGAATTTTTTTTAAAGATGACTCCACTTTTTTTTCATTATTTATTTTCCAACAAACTGGAAACCAAAACCGTAATTTGAAAATGTGGAAGTTTTCCACAAGTGGATATCGAACGGTATTCAATAGGGTCTGTATGTAATGTTGTAAACTTAAAGACACAAAACAGATCATCAACACTTGGTGAGAATGCAGCAGTAAATTTATCTCATTGACTGGTTTCGACCAGAGGATTAAAGCAATCAAAATGTAAAAACCTTCCGTATTTTTACATAATGACATCATACATCTACCAAATTCCGCCGAAATATGGCTGAACTATTGCCAACTTGGCATTAAACAATAAACAATCAATCTATATCTTGTCTCTATATAAGACTATATCTTGTATAAAATACAGTTGTTAAGCAGATCCTCAAATATAAAAAAAAAAAAAATTCCCCATATTAATTTGTTTATAGCTGCAATGTCATCCACATTTTTTACTTCAATAGATAAATTTACATGCTTGATTGTTCTGATGACGACTGTCCCTGGTCAAAACTGGTCAACAAAATAAATTTACTGAGCACTGCATTCTCACAAAGTGTTGGTGATCTGTTTTATGTCTTTAAGATTTCATTTTAAAGTTGAACTTCCATATCTCTAACTTCAATATCTCTAACTTCAATATCTCCAATGATTTGTCAAAGTGATTCTGATGTCCAAACCACCCTTTATTTAAATGTTTTTTAATCTCAATATCTTGAACTCTCGGATATATAGTAGTTTTTTCTCAGTCCAATTGAATTTGAGATTACAAAGTTTGGCTGTATCTTCATTCAAATAAATTTGAATCAATTCTTGTAATTAAATACAATTTGTGGAAAGTGTGAGTAAAATTGGTCCAGAGGTTCTGGAGAAGAAGTAGAAAATGTGAAAAGTATTCACAAGACCTACATTGTCATATAAACCATGATAAATTGTTTTCTTCTTCATCTTTAAAACGGTCCAATTCAGAGTTAATCAGAATTTTTTTCCTCCAAATTTGAGATTATTTCGGATCCATTATTTCAAAGATGACTCTCTACTCAAGTTCGTTCACAAGATAATCTAAAAATTTCCCTCTCTGAGTCCTCTACAGAGATCAATTTCAAATACATTAAAAGCCTATGGCCAAAGAAGGGTATCACAATTCAGGTACAAATAATAAAATTTCACCCTTTTACGAGATATTCCCTTCCTTCACCTACATTTGTATGTTACCTTTAAAAAAGTATTAAATTTTCAAACCTTATTTAAAGTATCATTTTCAATGGGATATTTTTTGTGGAGTTACCTGGCACCATTTAGTACGTAACAACAGAATAGGCATATAAAGTGCCGGAAATGTTTTAATACTTCACATCAATTGCAAAGCCCATGTTGAATGTCAATTGAGTGAAAGAAAACAAGAGTGGAAGGCTGGAGTTGTAAAACTCTTTGGGAACCCTGTAAATTTCCTTCTTTATATGATATTAGACATAATGCCTCCCCGTACCTTTTTCTGACTTGGTGACATCTGCTCCTTGACTCTCTACAGTCCTAACTGGCGTTTGGGATGCCCTTTTGTTCTTCTCTTTTTTTCTACAATAAAAAACCCACGAATCACTCAAAAATCAATCTACCATATGGTATACAGAAAAACTTGCTTATAGGGAAGTCCTGTGCACATGAATTTTTAGTTCCTTTTAATGTGTAACAAAGTGAAACGTGAATATGCATAAGCAAGAAAATCATACAGTCCATGTGATTTTAACCATTCTCATTATTTTATGTACTTGGATTTGTGCAATAGTTTTTCTTAACACAAATGTTTTAAGGACCCATGTCAAAATAGTAAAACTCAAAACCAGACACTAAGACATCAGGCATTTCAGTACAGTAAGAAAAATTATGCATGAAAAATGAAGATGGGGGGGGGGGGGGGGGAAGGGGATGAAAAAATCAGACCTAAGGCACTACATACATCTTTTATGAAACAGTAATTTTTGTATGAACAGTACATGAAATCTGTACAATTAACAACATTTTGTAAAGTTAATCAAAACCTCATTACACACTGAATAAAGGAAACTTTTACTAATATGATATCATTTAGAAAGGTTTACAATCATTCTTCTATTTAAGAAATAAATAACAAGTTTAAAAACTTCAATGGGAATTGAAGTGGGTCGGTCACGTGATCAAATCCTGTGAAGGCCGAAGGCCTTCTCAGAAGATTTGATCACGTACCGACCCACTTCAATTCCCATTGAAGTTTTTAAACTTGTTATTTATTACTTATATATACATTTGAGACGGACAATCGAATGTAATCGAATATAAATATTGCACTAACTGCACGTCGTAGATTTTGACTAATTACGCTAGGTGTAAATCGGCTTGAAAAGCGGTTACGCTTCAAATTCATCTGGCAAAGGATTCTGTTTTGAAGGGAATATTCTGTGAAAGGCTACTTGTGATCAATTATAGTGAGCATATTGGTGTCTTGGAATTTTTTGTATTCATGAGAATCCATATTCGATGTTTAAAAACACAAGAAACACGTCCGATGTTTGATAATAAAAAGTTGGAGGAATTTCGGTTGGAAAGGGATGGATGGAGAGACTTGTCCGGACCAGATAACTTGAAATCAAGTACAAAATTTGATCAAAAACATAAAATCTACGATTTCAGTAAGGCATATTTATTAATTTATGATGTTGACATGGAGACACTGGCGACAGCTTACATTGTTAAGACAACGTCACAACGATCTCGATGATGGAGGTGTGCCTACCGAACTTCCAAAGTGCAGTGCTTGTCAGCTGTTTGTGGCGTGATTGCATTACATTGATATTTTTCAACAGATTTTCAAATTTATTGTGAGTAAAGTTTAATGAAAAAAAATTATAGCATTCAGAGGTCTGCGAGAAAAATAAGGGTAAACGTAGAGACTATGCAGCTCAGACATGAAACTTATAACACGTAGTTTTCTATTCTCTATGTAAAATCGATCAAGAACTGTATTAAATACTCTTTAACATTGTAAATAAAATGATTATTATTTTGCTTGCGTATTTTGTACATTTTTATGCATGAAAAACATGCTATATTGCTTAGTGGAGTAAGTCTTTTTATGTAGATATTAATGCGCTGTGTGATTAGGTCACGTAATGACCTATGACCTTCGAAAAACTTCATACAGGTATGAAGATATTTGCTCTCTGCATGTTTATATAATAGAGAGATACCACAAATGTATATATTGATTGTTAGATATTTTCATTACTACTATTGATGACACCTCTCAAGTAGGGACCTAGGCCACCTTTAAAAAATTGTCTGTTTTCGCCTGACTGACTGACTGAAAATGACCCAACTCAAACTTTTTTTTTCAAACCTCAAGGAAACAATTGTACTTTTTATTCATTCCATAATTTTCTCATCCTGTCAATTTTAAAATTAAAACATTGATTGTGAAAATTTCTGAAAAAAATAAATAAATTTCTTCCTTCCTATCTACCCAATTTTTTTTTATCCCAGGTCAGGAGAGGGCAAGCAAGCATTCTTTTTTTAAAGTTAGCCCTTCCTTAAATATGTATTTATAAAAGAAAAGTTATCCTTATATCGTATGAGGGAAATAAATATAAACAAAACATATAACTTCCTTATAACCAGGATTTCTGTGTATTCCACTTCCTTTAAGCGAGTTTTACAGTACTTTAAAACTCCATGAGTGTCCACACACCTTGCTTTTCCTCCCTCAGTTTTGGTCACCTTATTAGGAGTGACCCCTGGAGTGGCTGCTGTGGACACCCACCCAGACTTGACCCCCTCTATCCCTAGCCAGTTTCTCTCCTCGGCCTCCAGCTGCTGTCTCTTAGCCCCCCTGTTTAACTTTCTATCAGATCCGGCTTCATCAGACTCTCGTTTTCTTTTTCCATTGCTGGGTGGAGTGGCACAGCTGAGCCATTCATTGTCTGTGGAGGATTTCGGTAGTGGAGTCACGAATTGTTTACACACACTTGTACTGACAAATGAACTTTGCCTCACTTTATAAGGACTTTTCAATGTATTCACAAAAGTACCAGTTTTACAATCTACACTGTTTGTGCTTTTGTAGGATGGTCCATATGCTTTTTGACTAGAACTTGTTGACACACTCTCTGTTGGTTTGTTTGTACAATTTTTGTCTCTTTCCTGAAAAGGATTCCCATCTACCCCTGATGTGAAGCTATTTTTTCCTCCTACAGCTAAGTAGGTCTCGTTTTCTGTTTCTTTTTCTCTGTCCTTCTCCATGAAGATTTCACAAATATACTCGCTGCTTAGATTGATGAATACTTTCTTTTCCTCTGCTGTTAACTTCCTTTTTATTTTCTTCTCAAACTTGTGTCTTATATCTGGTAGGAAAGAAATGAATAGAGAAAACTAGAAATATGAAACAAATGCCCCAACAAAAGTATGTTTGTATTGCAACATGAATGTACCGTCCTTCTATTGTCAGAGATAATAATGTGATGAAACTGCAAAATATGAAGGAATAGTGAGGTCAAGGTCATTGGAAAGGACAAGGTAAAAAAAATTATGAAGGAATTGCTTTAAGCAATATGTATCTTAGTATATAGGGAATTTTATAAAAAATAATTCTTCAAAAGTGAAGGTCAAGGGAAGAACAGTCTAAGGAAGGTCAAAGTCAAAAAATTATGATAGTTAGATTGCTCTTACCAATATATAACTTGTATATAAAATTGATTAAAATATCTTAAAAAGTGTATTAAAACTTGCTATTCACATTCCTCTGACCTGCAAAAAACATAATTTAGTGGATAACAAAGACCATAAACCCAATAGATCATGATTTTAAAGTATAACGGTTATCCCAAAATTCCCCAAACTTTTCCCAATCTTTATGTCCCCAGCCCCATTCCCAAAAAGTGATGTGATTTGAACAAACTTGAATTTTCACATTTTTCATCCCCAATTTTACATAGCAGCACATTGGGGGAAATCTTTAAAAAATCTTTTTTAAAGTGTTTCACAACCAATTTTTACTTTTCCTTAATTATTTCCCCTTGAAAGAGTGGTGTGAACCTTCATTTGAACAAACTTGAATCCCCTTCATCCAAGGATACCGTGCCAGGTTTGGTTGAAATTGTCCAGTGGTTCTGGAGAAGTCAAAATTGTACCGTCTCTGTAGAGAGTTTTACTGTACCCTCTTGTCCAGCCTTTTATTCTTACCTGCTATTGTGATTTTGTCCAGCTCTTCTTTCTTAAATTCATAGTCATTGTCCAAAAATGATAGTGCTTCCTCCTCAAACTGAAAAAAAAAATCACCATAATTATACATACAATTTAATTTCTATGAGGTTATTTAATGATTATTCTATATATTGTTCAGTCAGTGGATAATCAAAGAAATTAAGGCTAAGCACAGATCTTATCATCTACCTTCAAGATTTCAAAGATTTTTCCAATTCTAATGTTTGTTGTGTATTTCCTATGAATTTCAATTTTTCTGGCAAATTGATTCTTGAGATTTTTAAAAGATATTACTACAGGTAACTCTTGATGGCTCGAACTTCGATCTCTTGTTCGCTCGAAGTGAGTCTCCGGTCCCAAATTTTTCCTCTTTATAAATAACCAAATTTATTCTTGATTTCTCGAACTCTTGATCTCTTGAAACCCTTGATCCCTCGAAGTCAAAATGCGGTCCCACTATGCATATTCTACTGGAATTTACCCTTGATACCTCGAAGTGGCTATGTGTATACAAGGTTATATAATTAGCACCTTTACCTGGACATTTAAATGGCCCCAGGCAGGAGTCGCGGGTCTCGAAATATGGGATGTTTATTCGGGTAACAGTTATGCTGCGAGGTGATAATTAGTTAATAATTAATCATATTTAGCCTATATGCTATTTTAATAATTATCAACGACTGTCTTACGATAATTTAGAGATGCAGTTCAGTGAAAAGTAGTAGTTGGTTAAAAGACCAAATACTGATTTAATTTTTATTTCGAGTCAGTGTCAAAGTTAAACGAAACATGAAAAAGCAGAAACAGCTTCAATATCAATATGACGAGTATTATTAGACAAATACAGAATTGCGTTCAATGATCATGTTTGGAATAGTCAATGCTATGTATGACGCTGTAAAATGTCGTTTTTTATGTAACGAATGTGTAGTATGATGTCCATATTACAAAGAATACATAAATATATATGAAATGACGATATACATGTTTTGCTTTACTCAGTTTAATGAAATATTCATCTAAATTACGAAAAGATATCGTTGTTTTATAAAAACCACATGTAAAAGGTTAGCACTACATGAAAATCATTGCATCCAGTAAGACTAATTTTAAAACCTGTCAACAAACCCGTAAAATTCCGGACTCTTGAAAACTCGAACTCTTGATCTCTCGAAGTTTTTCCTTGGTCCCGCGGACTTCGAGGTATCGAGAGTTACCTGTATATTTTCACTAATTGTTAATTATCTCCCCTTGAAAAAGTGTGCTGTCCTTCTTTTAATCAAACTCCTTCCCCAAGGATGCTTTGTGGCAAGTTTGATTGAAATTGGCCCAGTGGTTCTTGAGAAGAAGTACAAAATTTGAAAATTAAAGGACAGCAGACAAAATGTGATCAGAAAAGCTCACCTGAGCTTTCAGTTCAGGTGAGCTAATAAAAAAGTGAAGCTTTGGTGACATGGGAGTGTGGGGCAGACAAGTGATTTTAGGGACTGAAACTCGTTTTCATTTCTTAAATAATACATCAAGGGAAGTAATGTTTGAAAAGGACCTATTGCATGCCTTCTACAAAACTGAGAACAAACCTGTGGGGAAAGCTGCTGGGCCACATGCCTAGAGTATAGTTTGGACTTTCCCTCTGGAGAGGTTATTTTGGGAGGGACAGAGAACTGGTTTACACTTCCTGTTGCAGCGAGAACCAGTTTAGCATTCCTGTTCAGACAGTGTTCCTGTTCACTTCCTTCCTCTCCTGAGCTGGCAATTTTCATCAGCCTCGATTTCAGTTCACATGTTTTGCTGTCACTATTGAAATGAAAAATAACATTGGAGTTGTACATATTTTTTACTGATAAACTTTCAAAACCTAACTTAGTAATGGATCCCATTTTTAAGATATTTGACATGCAAAAACAGTCAAACTTCATCTCAAATTCAGCAAGTTCAAGACTAAACTTTGATATATCCAAGAATTCCAGATAACTAGGGTAAAAAACACAAAAAATCATTGGGACTGCCAAATCACCTCTATGTATTCCTGATTTTAAAATATTGGTGTTCAAGATAAGGAAGTTCAACTGTACTTGAAAAAAATATGAATTGCATGCTGAACTGACATTTTCAATGCGAGATCCTATGATGAGGGAAATCAATGTTTAAGGGTTATGATGTGTGTAGAATTTCTGATGTTTGAAATATTTGATTTTTTCATGTTTGATTGCACTTACTTCTTTGATATAAAAAAAAAAAAATATTCTATGATTCTGTAAATTGTTGTGATTAATTGCAATCTTCAAAGAACTCGGACAATGATAGCTGCCATTAAGTAATTAACATTCATTAATTGTACAACATGTTTTTACCTGGATGATAATTTTCCAAAGAAATGTTTCTGTATGGATTTGACAGTCTTGGGTGTGCTCTGTTTCTTTTCTGGAGATGCCTCGCCATTTCCCGGAATTTTAACACAGATGAAAGACAGTCCCATCTGTACGTTTCTTTTGAATGGTTGGCGACAAATGATTTTCACTCTGTCCCATTTCTGTTTTACAACATCAGAGGCAAAGTCAGCTAAATGAAAATGACAAACTACTTTAAAATTTATAAACTTATATCTGCATATAATCCCTTGTCATCTGTGTGTTTATAGCAAACATTGTAACAAACATAAATGTTTCACTCTACAATTTATCACCTATTAAAAATTCCAATAAATCAGATGTTGACAGAAGCAGCCCATAAATTTCATTATCCCATTTCAGACAAATTTGTAGATTGCTGATTGGATAAAAGCTAATCACATGACACCCTGAAATTTTTCTTATAAAGTCTCCATCGAGGTGTAATATTAAAATCGGGCACGTGATTCCATTCGAAACGTCGTTTTTGTTTGTAAATAAAAATGGTGGTTAAGAAACGGTTTGTTACTTGTTATGATATTTTATGTTGATTGTTATTGGATTAAAACTTGATATTTGATACCAGTACCCATATCTGTAAATTCACACACTTAAATTGTTTAAAATATATAATACATCCAACCCTAAACACAACTTGATCCACTGACATACGAGACTGAATTTCTTCTCTTACTCAATGAATCACTGACTAAAACATCTCAGGTTTATAATGCTGATGTATTTTGTTCACATGGAGATATCATTTAATTCATTTTGAAACAAAGAAATTGGAGACAATTTATCAATATTAAGGAAGTTGGGTGGTCAACAAATTACCCAACAGATCCATCTTAAATTATGAATTAAGACGTTTCTTAACATAAACAATTGTTTAGTAAAGAAAAAAACCCACAATTTCCACCTACAATATTTAGAATATTTATACATAGCTCTTCTTTTCCATGAGATTTAAATAGTCTAAAAAAAACAGCTGTGACCACCCCTTCTTTTTAGACTCTTACATAGTTCTGTCATCAGTACCTGGTCCAAACATGCGGGTTTGTCCAGAGCTGGATTCAGTCCTACAGTCCTGGGGGGTCATTATACTTGACGTAGGGACCAGGGTAAGAAATTCCTGATCTAGCGGCAATTCTGATCGTCCAACTTTGATCTCCACAGTGGCACACCATATGGTTCCTAGTATTAAAATATAAATGCAATTATTTAGTTAAATATCATGTGGAAAACAAGAGGCCAATGGGCCACAATGCTCACCTGAGTCACTTTGGCTCTGTTGTTCTGCAGCAGATTTTTTCCCAATAAACATGTATTCCTATGCAATTGTTTTATGTAATATCTTGTGGGGAAAAAAACAGAGAGGATACATGTATTGAGTCTGAACTTCACTGTTCAAAAAAATAAATAAATAACCTTTTTGGTCCCAAACTTCTATGATTTTACAAATTAATCTTTTGAAAAGTTTGATATAGGTATTTTTAAATAATTTTTAATTAATATTGTCAACACACTATTAGTTGACTATACTTGGACAGGTGAACTTTTCAGGGCTCAAAGTATTTAAAGTGATGGTTTGATGGTTTGGGATCAGTAAGTTTTGGATTTAGGCTACTGCTCTGTAGACAGCAGTGAGCACATGCCCTCTCACCAAGTCTCTTTAAATTGATAATTTGATATTACATTTCAATGTTCTAAATATACTATCACAGGCACCTTCTGGTATAAATTTGGTGTCGGAACATCTTACATATTTGTTCAGGCACCAAAACTGCACCCAGCAGTCCTTTGAAATTCTATCCTGGAAAGTTCCTGTTTTGTATTTATAATTTTGTATATTCTTAACACTGATACTCTAGTCGGACTTTATCACTGTTGCATACTGTTGCTAGTCTGTCAGTGACACCAAAGCAATAGTGCTTGGGTACAATAATAATTTTATATTATTTTGCAGAAATGTAACAAAACTTTTTGTGATAAAAGGGAAATTTCTCAAAATTTGCGGAAATGCAATATGCCTTTTCTCATGTTTCTGTGGACAGTAAAAAAACAAAATAATATTAGTGCTACCTATTTACAAGTCAGTTCATATAATGTTTAGAATGATGATAAATCTTACATAAACAACAAGTAAAATGTGGATTAAGCCTACCTAAGGTAAATTTTAGATTTATGCTAGTGCATTACACCAGTAGATATTACATGCCTTCTGTACAAGTTTTTATGCATATAAAAATTTATTTACAGCCAGGCTTATTAAAATATTAACCTACCTAGGTCTATGTATGAGATGATTAATGGTCGTTTAAGCTGGACCATTACCACTGCCTGTCCGGACCTGTCTGAGGGGGACGTCAGCCACTTTTTATACCCTGTGTTACATGTCAGATTATTTGCTTTAAACTTTTCATCCTGCAAAAAAAAAAAAAAAAAAAAAAAAAAAAAAAAAAAAAAAAAATAGTTGATTGGAATACTTAATGTTATTTATCAACAACTTCCAAGTTTATTGGCAACAGATGGTTCGTTGTTAAAAAATTATTGGATGGAGAAAACCCACCAACTTTATCTTATATTAAACTATATATGTTTCCAGATTATTTCTATAATTTCAAATCCTAATCATGATAATGGTACTGCAGATCATTAAATATAAAAGAAAGTAAAGACAAGAATGCCAAATATGTTTGTGTAGATAAAATATCATAGTAGAGAATGGTGAAAAAAAAGTTTGCCAGTGCTTTTTCTCTGAAAGTGTATGACTGCAATTCTGGGTTACTCCTTGGATGTAATTCAGAGTTAGACAGATCATACCTTGCACTAATGCAGGTTTTGTAACAACGTCCTGTAGCCTTTCAGTTGGGAATTTCACATCGAATACTGGCAACATTTGGAAATATGATGTCTTAAATTAAGGTTTACTGTTGAGTGTTGAACAAAGGGTTTGATTGAAAGTTTATTCCCTATTCACATCTTCAGGTCCAGCACAATCTCTTGATTAAGCTATATAGCTTGAAATAGCTATATAGCTTTATTAAGCTATTCAAAATAGCTTGATAAAGCTATTTATATGCAGGTTTTCACAAAAATGTTATTGGTACAAAATAGACAAAAAGTCGCAAGTATTTGACTATTCATATATGTAATATGGGTCATAAAATCAACAACCCAAATCTAAGATAGTTCTAACATTGCAGCATTTGAATACTTTTAAGCAAAAGATGAATTTCCATTGTTTGGGTAACTGTACACTACCTTGTGTGCGTTGAGTCATGGATAAGTATGATTGCTTCTCATTGTACTGAATTATTACCAATCAATTATCTTGTTGACCATAATTGGCCTCCTTTATAATTTCATTGAAGAAGTAACTGTATCAATTGCTTTATATAGCCCCAAAACTTTTAGAACTTTGAGTACAAAGTCTCTTAAGGGGACGCAATTTGATGAGTGATTTTTACATGCATTATTTTCATAAGAGTTCAAGGTTGAATATCATCACTGCACCAAGGTGCGACTTTTTGTGCATACTTGGAAAATAACACATTTGTCTCAAATGATTTGAGAAAAAAGTGTGATAAAATAGCTAAATTAAGCTATTCTGAATAGCTTAATAAAGCTATATAGCTAAATCAAGCTATATAGCTTAATCAAGAGATTGTGCCGGGCCTGATCTTTATGAACAGGGCTCATCACTTTTTGGAATTGGGACCATTGAATTTTGGAAAATAAGCAACTTGTGGAGGGGGTGGGGGGGGGGGGGGGGTGAGAAAATCATTATATATCGAAATCATTATACCATGTATACAGGGTTGTCCCTAAGAATTCCCCCGCCTATAATGATGTAATCCCCTGGTTATTCTGGTATCCCGCCTCAATCTCCTGTTAGGGGAGGAACCCCCTTCTACTTTTTAAAATATCCCCTGGAATATTTTTCAAACCAGCAGAAAATGTTAGTTAATGTGTCAATACCATTAACTGGGGGAAAATTACACAATCAGAGATATAATGTGATCCCGCGTACATGTTAATCTATTTCCGCAAAATGACAAAATATCCGAGCAAATATTTACAGCAATATACGTAATGTAATCAAAGCCTCTTTTTCTAAATATATATATTTTTACAATGCAAAACATACCTGTGAAGTGAAGGAGACCACATACTCTATCGATATTTGTCCCATCTTTTGAAAGAGCGCGCTAAATGTTATTTACTTCCGGTTTTCTTTCAATGGGTAAGTCATACAATACATATTTCGATAATGATATGATTATATCGCTGTATCTAATCTAGATACAATTATTTTCTTTTCTGAAAAGCTTGTCTTACATGAACAAATTAGCTATTATGCTAAGAATAAAGAAAAATTAATCCAGCGTAATCAACATAAATTTATATGAACATGATAAATCAAGAAATTAATTCCATTGCTAGGAATCAAGAATTTCAGTGTTAATTAATTCCAGTATAAAACATAAAATAAGAAATAAGAGTCGAATTTGATTTATTCTCTGTCTTAAAGGTTTTCTTTAGGGTACGAGCATATGATTTTGAAGGGGAGGGGGCTGTCTGACAAATTTTTCGTGTAAGATTTATTTATTTTCATGCTAGGCTAGTGAGGGACGTCAGATTTTTATGTTCAAGATTATCAGGAAAAGATTATTTATTTTCTTCTTCACTGAAAAAATTTTTGGGAAAATAAGAAGAAAAAATGGCAAACTACAAAACTTCATTCTGGGGGAAAGGGAGTGGAGGTAGTGACACAAGACAAGGACATACTACTAGTATTTAAAGTGTATTTTCTTTCGAGTTCAGTGAAGACAGATTAATTTAGTATATTTTCGAGAACAGATTATTTATTTCCAACCCCCGGCCGCTCACCCACCGAAATCAAACGATTGTCCCCTTACCTTAAACATGTTTTATTGACAAATCAGTAAGGATTGGGCAACAGACAAAGCCTATGCACACCCTGTTATTGTACAGGTCAAGACAAAGACAATCATCTTTCAACAAGGGTCGTCCTATTGGCATGGTAATAGAGCTCTGCTTAAATAAAAGTTACAATACATTATAAAGATTAAATATTAACGTAAATTGATAGAATGTTCGGATCATATAAAAAAAATTTAAAAATATAACGTTGTAAAACTTTTTCACCTATTTAAAAATATTTGTAAACTTAAATTCTGAAGACAAATAGTATTCAAATGCATTGGAAACAAATATCCATTAATTTAGTTAATTCGTTAAACCACTGTCACACCGGGTCTGCGTCCTCACGGCGATCGCACGGCGTCCATAAAAAATGCAAAACGCCGAGGTGAGCGCAGTAGAGCGTCGTGACAACGCGGCGAGATCTCCAATGAACGCGGTAGGGTCGCGTAGGGTTTCCTAGAACGCCATGGGACGGCGCGCACTTTGGGTATGCACAAAGTACGCGCCGTATGATCGCGGTCTGATAAGAACGCAGTAGAAACGTAGTATGATCGCCGAATTCAGTGCTCAGCGCGGTGAGATCTCCAACGACGCAGTGAAAGCTACACAGCGACAACAAGGAGTTGTCACTGCGATCATTGCGCTCCCTTGGCGTTTCTACCTCGTCGTTGGCGATCACAATGCGCTTTCACGGCGTTGTTAGAGTGTTGTCAGCCAACTCAAAAACAAGAGCAATGGCCTCATATTTGATCAGCAATAATTCTAGCGTATTTGTCATAGGCGTCGGAAGCAAATTGAAAGTGGGGTGGCTAATTGAAAGTGAGGGGGCTAACCCAACGAAAAAAGGTAAGCCCCAATTTTCAATGCCTATATTATGTCTATCTTTGCAAAAATAGTGGGGGGGGGGGGCTAAGCCCCCCCCCCCCCAGCCCCCCCCGGTTCCGACGCCTATGTTTGTTGCACTCCTGACCAGGAGCATGGGAGTAGAATTGGGAAGGAAAATTACACCAGAACTTGTTCTGTTGTTTCAGTGGAGTTGCGGTGGAATTACTTAAATTTTACAACAACTTTTCAGTGTGTTTATTTTTTACATTCATAATAAAATCAAAGAAAGAAAAGATAAAAACTCATCTGAATTGATATAATTGAAAAAAGAAGGGTTCTAAAAATAAAACTTTCAATAATCTAGTACTAAATCATTCATATAGATCATTTTTAATGAAAGAATATTTCTTGGCATAAGTAGAAGTCTTTTCGTCATGTGACTTGAATCTTTGAAAAAAAAAATGTGTTACGTACACATCCATAGTAAAGAACGCATTGTGAACGCAGCAAGCGCAGTGAGAACGCCGTGAACGCGAAGTGACAACTCCTAACACGCCGTAAAAGCTCCGAGGAAGCGCAGTCAATCGCGAAGAGATCTCCGTGGGAACGCAGTAGCACGCCGCGAGAACGCCGTAGAAACGCTTAGGTTGCCGTAGGGACGTCGTGGCATCTGGGCCCTTAAGGATATTCGACAAGTGTTCTCCCGAGCAGTTATGTTCATTCCTCAGTGCTGTGTTTGCTGGACATTAATGATGTATCAAGAATGGCTAAATGTATGTAACTTGTAATGTATATTGAATTTGATAATAATAATAATAATATATCAAGATCGACTCTAATTTTGTTTTTACGTCCAATTAATGTTCTGGTTCTCATTCGGATGATAAGCGTTTCCATTAATCCACATGCTCTGAAACTAAGTAGTATGACTTATTATACCTCTCTTACAAATATTGGAAGAAATTGGGCGATTATAATTTGGTTTGATACTTTCTTAGTTGAGTTAAACTACCAACACTCACTTTCTCAAGTATTCAGGATAACTTTCACTAAGAAGGTAATAAGGTACTTTTTTGTTTGTCTGGTAATGTAGAATTCAATTCTCAAACCTCTAACACCTCCGAGTCTGACATTTCGAGAAAAGAAAATGTTTGAATTTTACAGATAAGTCTGTTAACAGGAAGTTACGTAACAAGAAGTCCAAAAAGGGAGAGAATGGAGTCAGACCAAAATATGTCAACTTCATAGATTTCTCTAAATTTTTGACGACTTAATAAAATAATAAAACTGCTAAAATAATAGGTCGTTCGATGTTGAAAAGCCCTGATTGAATTTTTGAAAACTATTACATTTAATGACAAAAATAAATCCATAAAATTACATCTGGAGAGTTAACAATACAGGTACATGTACGTGTTTTCTTTCCAGAACTTGAGACGGTTTCAGATGTATATCTGATCCTTCACAATTGTAAAAGAAAAAAAATTACACACATGACCTAACCTCACGAATGAATTTTTATTTTTAAAAAAACATACATACATATTCATGTATATAAACAAAAAAAATTTTAAGTTTTAAAGGAATAAACAAAGCCGATTCTAATAAACAAAAATAATAAGGGATATTTTTGCCTTAAATAAAAAAAGAATGTGCATATATTTTAAGATTTGGTTGTATACTTTGTACACATTTTGTACATTACAAAGTTTTTAACTATATTTAGTGACACGTATGTTCGACATAGATCTAAAACCTAAACTTAAAGGAACCCGACGTGTATAGCAAAATTTTGATCAGTATTGTTACATACAATGTCGGGATAGGCTTCAGCCAATCAGAAATCTCGTTTTTAGATGATAGAAAACAAAAATGTAGGGATTCAACATAATCAATGACTTTTTCAGTATTCAGTAGTTATTTATAGTACGTAATATGATTATTACGTGCGTAATATGAACGTTTCCTATTAATTCAACTCAATTAACAATTCTTCACGGAAATGTCATGCTATTTCATAATTCTGTATTATTTTGAAAACAAATAGAGTATCAAAAACCCATTTCAATTGTCCGGAAAGGTAATAAGTCTAAGTGTATCATACATCCTTTTAAAAAATTAAAACTGCAATATATGAGGACGATAATTTTTTAGAAGCATGTATGATACAAAAGGACTTGTTTTCCCTCCTAACTATTGAATTAAGTTATTACGAACTCAAATTTCAAAGTTCATGGAAATGTTTTATTTTTTGACTACACTACCTGAGGATGCTTCCACATCAACATGACTTAACATGAATTTGCTATTCTTCAGATTTTTAAAGATTTTTTCCTATTTATTCCTAAGACTAGTATGTAAAACTTTAATCAAAAATTATGTTGTCAGTAATGTCATCTTTAACATATTTGATATGTTGTTCATATTATGTTTTACTTTTTGATCTGACACATATTTCGGGTTTCTAAAAGCACAAAATAGAACATTGCCATTCTTTCTATAATTTTGAGGGGTACCCATCTTTTATCCGCAACTCCTCCTATACTGCTAAATAAAATTTCATGATATTTTCACGTAATCGTTATTACATAGTGCCATTGTATACCTCTTATTTTACTTTTTGATCGAACACTTATTTCTGATCTCCCATAGCAAAACATAAACTTTGCCATTATAAACTGGCCCGTATGAAGCAATTTCAGATTTTCAGTGTGGGGGGGGGGGGGGGGCACAACCATACATTTTCAGTTGAGGGGGCACTACCAAAAATTTCCTGACAAGCATAAAATAAAAAAAAAAAACAAATAAAAAAAGGTCATCAAACTTTTTATTGAAGGGGCACAAGCATATAATATCTACGTTTACTATAGTAATCTATACATATATATCGGCAAAATTATTGGGGGCACGGCCCCCGTGACCCCTCCCTCCGTTCCTAAGGCCATGATACATGTAAACATATGGGGGCGGGGGATATCATTTTGTGAGCTCAGTGCTCAAAGTTCCTCTGGTTTTATCTTGCTTTTACTAGTACACAATCACTCTATAGAGATGATTTAGTCACCAAACATTTACAGCGGTGCATTAGTTGTCCCCGCTTTTACTGAAAGTGGAGGATCTGACTGTCCGTTTGTCTCTCCGTCCGTCCGACTAGATCTTATTCTGTCTATGCCTAACACTTTCGATCTAAAAAAAACCTTTGATTTCTTGCAATGAAATTTTATTTTTTTCGTATGGTTTAGATAAGTACACCGCAGTCGTATGTCTAATGGAGTATGAAATAAAAGTTATAAGACCGCATGAACACTACTTTCGTATTAATTAATATTACTTCAAATATGAAATTTATATACTCCTTTTCCTTTCCAATAAGTTGACAAATTAAGAATGTACATAAATGGGGAGGGGGTGTTTCTCTCTAGAGCAAGACTTCAACGGGGGAACATGGCCCTAGAGTGGGCTTTCCACTAGGGGATAGTATCATTGTTGGACAAATCTTGCGGTATAGGAAGTAAGGCTCTAAAGTGAGGCTCCCCCTTGAGTATAGGCTTACTCTCTTTTGGTACTTTTTCTTTGGGGGGGGGGGGGTATAGCTCTGGAAGGGAAGCATTGCTTTAGAGTAAAACTGTCCCCTAGCGGGAAGGCTTACTCTAGAGCAAGACTTCCAGGGGAAATACGTCCGATCTGTCAGGTGACTTCACCAGAGTACATCCGACAGACCGGACGTATTTCATAGCGGCCCGGATTTCTTTCTTTACAATTGGTTATAAACTTTCAAATTAAACATGTAAAATTGTAAATATATAGTGTTTGGTAGTTTATTTGTAGTGTTTTTTGTTTCTGTTTCTTTTGTTTTTATGACTTCATAACCTGAGGAAGGAACAGGGCGTCCCGAAAATTTGAAAATTCTTCATTGTTAGTGTCGTTGGTTATTTTTAATTTTTAGTGATATATATATATATATATATATATATATATATATATATATATATATATATATATATATATATATATATATATATATATATATATATATATATATATATATATATATATATATATATGTATGTATGTATGTATGTATGTAAGTATACATATATATTTATATATATATTAGGTATGTCAAATTGGTCAATTGGTCAAAATTTGATAAACGGATACACGCAATTTTCCGATCGAGTACCCGGGTACTCGGAAAAAAGTGTGTACATACATATATAAGTTGAATGATTTTATTGAGACCTGTTTACCACATCGATGTTTTCTTTCGTTTAAAAAATAATGAATGTACATAAACATCAAGCCCAGCGAAAACGATTTATTGGTACTTTATGTGTCAAGCAAACACAATTTAAGACATGATCAATTAATACACCAATTATTACAAATGCTTTACAGTTCTTGTTTAGGAAGACAATCTGACCAAAGGAAGATAAGGACTTATAGTCTTTGTAATAATTAGACCAGCGAAAGAGAATAGGAATGAACGTTGTCGTGATCGCGAGTCGAATATTAGTTACATTTTCAAATGTTTCCTCTGTAATAACTCTGAAAGTTATGTTGATTTCTCAACTACAACTTCACCGTTATGCAAGAATTATCCCACGTTTCAAACTGCCCTTGATGCCCTGGCATACCCAACAAAGTAGACAGTGATTCCTTATATATATGGTTGATCCCCCCCCCCCCCCCCCCCGTATACGCTAAATTTACTTTGCACTGCTGACTTATAACATTTTTTAAATCTTCAGTTATTTTTTTTTTATATTTCTTCACTTTTGAATTGGTATCGGTATTTCTATGTACAGGTATGTTCGATTTCGCTATCCTGTGTATTGTTTTTTTTTACATTTTGAATTTTCTTTTCTTTTTGATTTTGTTTGTTTTGGTTTTTTTCATTACATTATAACTTACAATATGTATTCTTTCTTTTTTACTCCTCACATTATGATTAATTTATAACTTATTTAAGATATAATTGTCATGTTAAAAAAAATCTCTGTAACAGAAGAAATAAAAGATGAATGAATGAAAGTGATTGGTCACATTAATTACTATACAGAACAGAACATTTATTTTCTAATTTAGAGCCCATAACAGACAAAAATGAAATTATTACAATATACATGTACAAAGGCACAGGCGATAACGGGTATATTAACTAGTGTCGGTGAAGCTTATTTCTGCATGTATAGATATATCAACAGTACACATTTAAAAAACATTTTTGGTAAGTTTTGAATAAATATTCATGTATGCACTTCGAAACATGGAAAAAAAAATATAGATCCGAGTAATCGAGTACCGCTTTTAATATTCGATACTCGGATGTTCGATCGAGCACCCATATATATATATATATATATATATATATATATATATATATATATATATATATATATATATATATCAGCACCCCCTCCCTTGCAACTAAAAATGTATTAGGTTGAATCCGGGACCTAAAAATACATTTATATATTAAGGGAAAAAGTGCATGAATAAAGCTAATAACGGACTGTTAAATAATTCCATTCAAAGCCTGTAAAATTTAGGATCATCCCTCAAAGCTGCTGAACCACTCTTAGGGGAATACCAGGGATTATCATAATCTGTGTATTTTTTTTTTTTTTTTGAGTTTCACCTCAAGTCTCGACTGCAAAAGGATTGGCAACTGTACATATCGATTCCCCTTACAGCGCCCCCTTGATAAGCGGTTCATTGTGACGTTTAACACACACAGACATGTGAGGATGTTTTCATTGTGGAAAGAATGAAGCTGGGGTTCTTAAAACGGATCGGATATGGGATTCTGATACTCTCTTTTCTGACGATAGTCTTCCATGTTACTGTGCTTAATAGGCGCCGATCAAGTAAGTGTTTATCTTCCGATAAAGCATTGTGGAAAAACACATGTTGCTTTGAAAGGTCGTTTGCGATGCGCGTAGTATAAATTAATATAAGCCCTGTGTTATAAATGACACTAATTTCAATGCTGAAGATATAGTTAGATTTTTTTGTCACCAAATTAGACTAAAATAAAATTTATAACATGTTTACTTTACAAGTACTTGTATGATTGGCGTTGTTTCTTCAATTTACAAACGCCTGCCCGTAGGTACCTAACGTAGACATGAACATGATGAATTGGCGATAAGTGTACATATGTAAGGTCATTATTTTTTTTTTAACTTGTGATTCAATGATCACTCTGCTTGCCAAATTATTATGTGTACATGTATAGTGATGTATTTTTCCCTACTAGTGGATTTTGATTTCCTTTTATCACGATTGTATAAAATTTTACCAAGGAAGGATTATTTTGTACTTAAGAACTTAAAACAGGAAGGTAACACGTGTGAAACTCGACCAAAAAAATCAGATAAATTTTAATCTCTTCTCTGTGTCTGTTTTGATTCTCTCTCTCTCTCTCGCTCTCTTCCTCTCTCTCTCTCTCTCTGTGAGAATGTGTGAGAGGGCGTGTGTGTTATCTAAAAGGGCATGCTTATTAAACTCTGTAGTTAGATCATCCATAAGAACTGCTGGTAAGGCGTATATGTAGAGGATACTGTATATAATGGGGATAGCTAGTGTAAAGGAAGAAATCAATACACCGCTCGGCCATGCAGACGGTTTCCTCTAAACTGGACTTATCTTAACCATATTCACAGCTCTGGTTTATGTAACACGTAGTATGGGGGAGCAGTAGGGGTTCTGCCCCCTCCCATTTTTCCGAGCATAATTTTTTGCTGATAATTTAGTTACCTAGGAAATTTTTGCAGACGGGCCAGTTGAACTAGCACCATTTATTTGCAACATAGTCAACTCCACTTGTGTTAATGTAATATCAAAAAAGGTTGAAGATGATACGTCCCTGTCCTTTAGAAACATATATATCTAGTAAAAAGTTGCACAGCATGTTTGAAAAGTCCATTGTGTAGTAAATGTATGCAATAGCATGGTTTGTGTCACTGGAAATAATTAGAAACATCGACACAAAAGGCAATTGTCCATGTTATAATGAGTGTCCTATTTTCTTTTATGATAAGCAATTTGCCACATTCACCATCATCGAAAGCTAATTCAAAAAAAGATATATTTCCTTCGCCGGTTAACATTCTTTTTTTTTTTCATTTGTAAGCCACTTGCAATTCTACCCAGGCAAAGAATTAATTTTATCCGTGCCATGTTACATAGAGATAAAGCAATGAACCTTTAGATAACGAACGACTGTCAAGGTTAATTCAAACCTAGTCAAATGTATTTAACGGTCCATTAATGCATTCATGAAGAAAATAGCGGTAGTATTTGTATACACTTATCAGAATCGTGTGTCACGTCTTTAGTTAAATCACAGTTATAAGGAGGGGCATATTGCTGGGGGTATAAAAAGTCAGAAAAAATGATTCAGTCATATATTTTATTCTTTTCCGGAATAACCCGGGTCCAATTTTTGGAATAATACCTTAAAATCCTATTTCTGTGGACAGAGGAGTTAATATTCTGCAGGGTCTATTGATCATTTGTTTCGCGTTCGTACAGAGACAATTAGTTTTCTATAGCCATGTATTTACATTGAATTGCTTTTCATACTGCTAATATTTTAACTTGAAAATAACTCATTAAGCTTAAATTTAAAATAAAGAGGACTTATATTTCTTATGAAATATTTGACACAAATATATAAACCCTCGGAAAAACAACTGTTAAACCTATACTTGTGTGACGTGACTATGTATTAAGTATTATTGCTCTCATGCCAATAAATTGTGAATTTTTAGAATGTGTTTGTATAATCTCAGTTTTCAGTATACTTGTACGTACAGGCCTATAGTAACTGGGGGAGGGAGTCGATGGGTCTGACAATATTTTTTCTGCTGTTAAAATAGTTTTTATATATTTTTTTTTTAGTCGAAGGAGGCATTCCTTCCATTTTCTTGCACTTCCATTTCCATCAATTTCAACTTTGGTGTTTGCTTGTCAAATAATTGTTCAAGCCCCCCTTTTTGATCGTTAACTATTTTTCTGACCGTCCTCCCCTTCACTATGTATATATGTTTTATATATTCACCATTTATTTGTTTTATGAAAAACAAAGTTACATGTACGTGCCGACCGTAAGTGATGGTGACGCATTTTGCATTTAATTTTACTTTTGAACTAATTCGCAACATGTCGGGGATTGAAGCGGAAATTAACATTCAAGATTTGTTACCAATATTTAGTCAGCTATCCAAAAAGATATCTAATTCATAGAAATGAATAGGATTGGAGACAAAGCCTAAAATTAACAAACAAAAGGAACGAAAGCCAAATTATCAACGTGAGTTAAAGATTTTTGTAAATATTCAATACATATTTGTACATTCTACACTAGTCTAAACATACCCACGTAACGTTAATAAGGAAGATATAGAACTAGTTGTGATATTTCCAACTACTTGTATATATGAAATGCTCTCAAGCCTTTTAAACCGGGATATAATTAAACAACTTCAAATAAAACAATTAATAAAGGAAAATATGAATATTAACGTTAAAAAGGAGTTATGTAATAAGTGTGTAACATGGCCGTAGGAAGTGGGAGTGGCGGTGGGTTGGGGGGGGGGGGGGCAACCCAATAATTTTGCCGATATATAGAATACTATAGAAAACATATAACTACTATATGCTTGTGCCCCCTCAATAATAATGTCTGATGACCTTTTTTTTTGTTTTGTTTTGTTTTGTTTTGTTTTGTTTTTTTTGCTTCTAAAGTGAAAAAATACATGGTTGTGCCCCCCTCCCCCCCAACTGAAATTGCTTCCTACAGGCCTGTGTAAACTTGAAAAAGAAATGAACAGAGATATAAGAGAAATGTATTAATAACATATCTTGAGGGGATATTTTTATCCATAATATATATAGATAAAGAAAGAAGGATTTTCTGAATCATTAACACCTGATAATAGCAAGTTAAAAATAAAAGTAGGTCACAGCTGTTGTAACACATTGTGAAACATTACGGGAGGGGAGCCGGAAATCTAATATTGATGATAAAAAGAAAAATGTGTTTCTCATATCAACATATGATCGATATCACGTGCAAACTTATCTATAGTAAGTAAATTGATAGTCAAAAGAATTTTAATTCAGCTGATCGAAATGAGCTTATGCTATTATTCTCTCCCAAATTACATTTTTAGGCCCCCGTAATTTAAGATTTTGGCATATATGTATATATAAATATATATAGTTTACTTTGTTCATATGTGTGATTTTCCCGAAAATTACAACCTTGCCTATAAAGTTGAAACAGTTAAAGCAATATGAGCTGCAACTTTGATGTCAGAATTTCTTGTTTCAAAATAATTTTACTATTTCAGCGACAGAAAAAAGAACGTTTATAAACTTCTGTTGTTCATATTTGCGATAGAAGAACTATTTATAAGCTTTAATTGAAGCAAAGTTACATTATTGTCGTCCTGTACAATATTGATTTCTTATATAATGCTATATATTTCATGTACAGAATCCTTTATTCTGAAACAATTTGATACTTTATGTCTGTCTAATTGATCAAAAAAGTTTAAATTGCATACAAATTCATCATAATAACACATTTTAACAGCAAAATAAAATTCTTAAAAATGCAGCTCATATTGCTTTAATGTTTTAATAGGGCTATCCTATTTCACATGTGTATCCTTTCTTTGGATACTTTTGACCTCTCAACCTTGAACTTGGAGTATTACCTACGTTTGAAAAACTTCTAACCATGGCCATAATTTCTGAATGTCTGGAGCTAGGACTTTCATATTTCACATGTGTATTATTTGTGACAATACCATCATTTATAACCTCTTAACCTTGACCTTAATGACGTTTGATTTACATTTGAGTAATTAAACTTTTACCATTGCGAAGAGCTGCCATATTGGGGCATCAGTGTTTTACACACGTCTTTTTTTAGTTTTAAAGTTGTATTAGTCATATACTAGTATGCATTGGCAATGGAGAATTGTTAGTAAGTGAAAAACACTGTCTGTTATACGCATGGTAGAGGTGTCCCCGGGATAGAGTTCAATTTCTTGTAGTCACTACTGGCCAAACTTGCATCAAGGTTGCAGCAATTTAGGGGAAGTTTAAAATCAATCATGCTACGATTGCTGAATCTGACTCTATTGTTTCCGGATGAATGACCTGGTTTTAATTTTCATCGGAGTAGCCCAATTCTCCAGCACCTACAGCGCCAGTACATCCCCAGTATCTTTGTTCATTCCCAAGTATCTCAGTCCATTCCCAATTAAGTATCGTAGTCCATTCCCAAGTATCTCAGTCCATTCCCGAGTATCTTAGTGCATTCCTAAGTATCGTAGTGCATTCCCAAGTATCGTAGTCCATTCCCAATTCAAGTATCTTAGTGCATTCCCAAGTATCGTAGTCCATTATCCAGTATCTTTGTTCATTCCCAAGTATCTCTGTTCATTCCCCAGTATCTTAGTCCATTCCCAAGTATCTTAGTCAATTCTCAAGTTTCTTAGTGCATCCCCAAGTATCTTGGTTCATTCCCCAGTATCTAAGTTCATTCCCAAGTATCTTAGTCAATTCTCAAGTATCTTAGTGCATCCCCAAGTATCTTAGTCAATTCTCAAGTTTCTTAGTGCATCCCCAAGTATCTTGGTTCATTCCCCAGTATCTTAGTCCATTCCCAAGTATCTTAGTCAATTCTCAAGTATCTTAGTGCATCCCCAAGTATCTTGGTTCATTCCCCAGTATCTTTGTTCATTCCCAAGTATCTTAGTCAATTCTCAAGTATCTTAGTGCATCCCCAAGTATCTTGGTTCATTCCCAAGTATCTTAGTCAATTCTCAAGTATCTTAGTGCATCCCCA